AAAAGTGCCCCTACCGGTCCCTCAAAAAGTTCTTTAATTGTCATACACTCCTGTGTATTGCCATTTATAATGAATTTGAGGATGAAAGTCTGTATTTTGAAATATCAACCACAAAACATAATAAAATAAGTTTGTCTATATCACAGTAATGTGTTAAGTTTTCCATGCTTAGTAAGGAAATTATGTTTATACAACCTTGTCATATTATTACGATGTGGGATTTTAAAGTAAATCCTATAAGGAATAAAGAAGTTGGAGTGAAAATACCAGTTTCTCGAAAAAATCTAAGTTCAATGGGACATAATTCTGGAAATAGTCTTGCTAGAGTATTTAACCTTCTCAAAAATGTCGAGTGATAATAAGAAACATATATATGAAGTTTGAAGTAGATACATTAGGAAATAAAGAAGTTATTTAAAAAGACAACATTTTTTCCCCTAAAAAATCTAAGTTCAAGGGAGGTAATACTGATATTTTTTTGTGCTAGAGTTATAAACCTTGTCACATATGATGTGGTTGATGACCAGAAACTTATATTTAAAGTTTGAAGTAAACACCTTAAGAAATAAAGAACATATAGTGAAAAAGCTGAAAAATTTAAATCAGAAATCTTGAAATTCAGGCTATTTGTTGCCATAGCAACCAGAATTTTCAACATAGGAAGAAAAGAAAAATATGTGCATAATCTCCAGACTGCCATCTTACCCATATTTCAAGTTTCATAAAAATATTTTCAGTACTTTTTGAGTTATCACTGGATCCAGTTTATGTGTTAAATTTGCCATATTTTCAGACTATTTGTTGCCATAGCAACCAGAATTTTCAACATAGGAAGAAAAAAAAAAGACGTGCATAATCTCCATACTGCCATCTATCCATATATCAAGTTTCATAAAAATATTTTCAGTACTTTTTGCGTTATCGCGGGATCCAGTTTTGTGGACGGACGGACTGACGGACAGACAGACGGACAGACAGACAGATGGACAGACGGACGGAGGGTAAACCTAAAGTCCCCTCCGGTTAAACCGGTAGGGGACTAAAAAACATGGTATAAAATCAAATTTATTTGTAATATCAAGTAATTCACATGAAACAAATTTTTAACATTAATAAATTTTTTCATTATTGCTCTATTTTTGAAAAGATTTAAGTATGCAGCTTTCTAGCATAATTTGAGTTCTATATTTCAAAACAAGCACTAAATCTAACTACTTAAACAATAAGCACATTTTGCATTATAAATCAGAAAATAACATGAAATTGTTTAATTTGTATAATAATATAATTGTATATACCAAGAAAGCTGAAACTAAGCAACCAATGATGTCAGCAAACCAGCAATTAATATAGATGGGACATCTTTTAAATTAGCATTTCTCCATATTTGTGTTAATGTCTTAATAAAACAAGAGGGGCCATAATGGCTTTTGATGGCCAACTTGACACATTGTGTAAATTCTTCAATTACAAAAACATATAAATAGTACTAGTGAATAAAATAATGGTCAAGTGTACAAGCTAAGAATTTTAACCTAGCCTATGGCACTTTTGCCCAAAAATATCACAAATCACAAAAAAATACCAATGAAGTTGTCTTACTCTCGAACAAGGTAAAATTTTGGGGATAAAAATATTAAATTTTGTCATTACAAATTATACATGTTTTACTATGATACATTTAACGTTCACCTTGAATTGTAAATATCAAAACATTTCTTTCATTACATATGCCATATTCCTGTGTTTCTGTTTTTTATGATTTATTTTACTTATCTGGAGGTTACCCCTTAAAAAAACAATAACTTTAATAACAAATTTGTGTAACAAATATGTGTCACCATAAAAATACTTAATAGCTCGTGAAAAATTCTATAAATACATAGTGTCTTGTAAAAAAAAATTAAGGGCTATAATGTACATAAGAAAATGACTTTCAGTCATCAATGGATATACATGTACATGAAAAAAAATGTTTTGTCATCCTTTTAAAGCCTTCACCAAATAGACAATAGCTCCTAACTAAGAAGTTATCACATTATCAGCACAAATGATTATTATAAATAAATCTACAAAACAAGCAAAATAAGTAAGTTCTAGTTTTTTTATATGCCTTTATTTAATAAGCCTCTTGGTGATTGGGATTAAAATAAGATCATCTGATGCTTTATAAAGCATCTACTAACCTAACTCCAAATCATGCAGACGCTTATTGAAATAAAGGCATAGAAAGTTTCTAGAGGACGTGAAAAATAGGTGACATAATTCAAGCTCTGAGATTCATTGAAAATGATAATATGAATCTGTTGCTATGACAATCTGTGATATGTTTTATTAAATGTTTTGAACTATGAAATAACGTTCAGTTTTTAATGACACAAACATTTCTTATTTCTTATGTTTCTAATTATCACTATAATAATATTACTTAAATATGATTAAATTTTCTGCATAATTCTAATTCAATATTTCTTAAACTTACATAATAATAATAATAATAATAATATAACTCATAATCTACCTATTAACATCTGTGCACATTTATATACTTCACTACACATCTATGTCCTTTTAAAACACTTATACATTATGGCCATTTAGATTTGGGAAACTGTTAGACTAGAACACATCTAGGAAAGAACACTGGGTCCAGAACAGTTATTAATCAAAACTTTACAATAACATTCAATATAATAGGTACCAGTCTAAAACTCTTTGTCATTTGATTGGTTGCTTCACATCTAAAAATTCAAAATTGACCAATGAAATTGTTTTTATTCATAGACTGGTCCAAAATTTGCATTGGACTGTATTTCAACCCAATTTGTACTTATCTACACATCACATTCTTCACTTCCATAACAATGACAATAGTCAGTATGAAATATTCCTTTTTATCTAAATGTTCTATCATAATCACCTCCTGACTCTTTGACATGGAGATATGTTTATTGCGCCTCTTCTATATCAACTTACTGACCTTATATTTGTCAAAGACCAATAGGAATTAATGAGTTGTATATATTAAACCAATATCAGTGTTATTGCACACAAAACAAAAGACAAAATATTCTTGCCAGTACAATAATTATCATTAAAATGGACAGACTGGCACAATTTGCATTTTACACAATTCATCGCTTTTTTGCATATATTCAAAATCATAATTGAACACCTGATTTTTTTTTTACCACATTTATGAACAGTCTGATATTTTAGCCAATCAGAGAGACTTATTTATTCACACCTGAGAAGACTCTTCCATATTTTCGTTTTCATCATTAATTTTTGCACTGAATCTATTAACCAGTCTATAGCCGTCTGGTTCCTTAGGGTGTTCGACCTCTAATTGCTGGGGGTCATCAAGTTCATCCTCAGAATCCGAATAATCAACACTAGAAGAGTTTTTCTGAGGTTTGTATTTGTTTTTCCTTTCTGCTTGTTCATCTATATGACCTTGTATGGCATGCCGCAGCTGGAAATATGAATGTTTTCATATATAAAAAATCTTGTATCTTAACAAAACTGTAATACAAGTGTGCAGCTTATATGGAAAAACATTATCATAATCATAGTCAGGTCAACATACAAAAAAAATCATTCATTCATTGTATGAGGGATGGATATTCTGATCTGAACCACAAACACATGTCAGATATTTCTTCTGGCATACTCTGTCATATTTTAATTTTAATAGCATATAAATTCAGAACAGCGAAACCCTAACAATGCAGTTTCATTCTTAAATATTCCAAAATTACATTATTTTAATTTCATTCATAAAATGTGCTAAAATGACATTGCTGAATAGCACGCAGCTCATCTGGCATCCCCAATGCCATATAATGAATTAACTCTATAGCTAGATTTAAAGTCACAGCAGTATGTGAAATGTGAATAAATTTAACTCTTCATCCTGCCTATCTCCGAACTAAGGTAACAAAACAACAAAACTATAACAAAATTCAAACCTCTTTCAAAGCAACCACTCCCACAAGACGTCCTGTATTGGTGACATAAGCATGATTCAACCCAAGAAGTGAAAATAATGAATGCACCTGAAAGAATGAAAGCAAAAGTTTAAAACCAAAGTTTATTGTTGGGTTTTACATAGTTTTTGAATTGTCAAGGACTTGGGTGGTATGGCACTTCTAAGCTTTACTGGGACAGGGACACAATAGGTACTTTTCTGTTTATTATTTCATGCACAAGCAGGTACTTTGGTGACCCTAAAGACCTTTCATATGTTAGCTGAAAGCTTACTCAGTGTCACATGAAAGTATTCAAATCCCTGGTTAGATATGATTTCACATCAGAGAGAGACCAGGGATTCAAAATAACATCTTGACCCTATCAACCAGATAGGCCAAATTTTTTTTTAATTTAACGCTGTTAATAGTTTGCAACCAATTAACAAAATTCTGTAAACAATTTAACAATAGATGAAGCTCCTCCTGTTCTGTATTAGGGGAAATCCCTTAAAAGCAAAGAAAGCACGAATAAATAGGAGAAAACAACATGCTTTGTTTAAAATGTATCTGCTCATGAAAGAGAAATAACAAAATTTCTTGACAATTTTCTGACAGGTCTTGCTTTATCTCAGTGAAACAAAATTGCACTTAAAAAGGCCAAACATGATCTGAGCTCAGTTTAATTTTAATATGACTGGAGTTGTCTTTATACACAAGTGTATACGGTAATATTTCAAAGCCTACCTTATGTAATGAGGTTCTCTCTACAAGCTGGAATGGTGCTGGATCTATCTGACATCCTTCCCAGTCTATTATCTTCATTAACTGATTTTGTTCCCATGCTTCTTGCTGTAATTGTAATCATATGTAATGTAATTCTGTAATTAGTAATTTCAAATATTACTCATATGATAATATACACTTAATGCAACATAAAAAGTAATAGTTGATACATTCTGTCCAGTAAATAATATCATCAACAGATTTTGCCCCCATGCTACTAATTGTAATTATAATTATTTGTAATGTAATAGTAATTTTAAAAATCCAACATAACAGTAATAATATCCTTCCTCCAAGAAAAATATTTTCATGTTCCTTAACTGTAAAGCATTAAGTAAGAGGATTTACCAAATAAGGTACTTCCGACAAATAAAGTACATTCATTTATAAATCTTTAAAAAATAAAAATCCATTATTACTGTAACAGAGATTACATAAAAACAACAGTAATAGTAATTACATAAAAACAACAAAATAGTTATGACAGTTATACATAATTATGTGTTTTATTGCAATATAAATATTAGACAGAATGAACTTAAGTTTCAATTGGTCATGTGAAAACTGATGTAATAAAATAAAGGGCCAAACACTTTGCATGGAATGATATAACTGTTAACTTAAGTGCAAAAGGGTCATTTCAGCAGCAGACATAGAAATATTGCCAATAAACATAAGCACTTTAATCATTATAAGAGCAGACACTTAAATATTGCCGATAAATGTTTAAATCAACTTGACTTGCCAATTAATTCTTTAATTATTGATCAATTAATCAACCAGCAGATACTTAAATATGCCAAAATAAATTGCCAATAAACTACTTTATTGACTTGTAACTTGGCCTGCAATCATAGAAATATTACTTATAAAGCTAAATCAATAATAATTTCATCAGTAGTATATTAAGCTGAAACCAGTAATTCTTTAAAAAATACTTCATGGAGGCAATTTCTATTGTTCAAAACAGGCTCACATCGTCGATTACCCACAGTACATATTCCTTATATACTATATAATGAACTATGTACAGAATATATACTGTGGATAACAGACTATGTACTGCACTATACTTTGAAACAACACTTCATGCAAACACCAATAAGCACTTGTGCACTAGGAAGTTAACAGAATTAATGTGAGGATGAAGCAAAGCTAAAAATAATAATTTTCAACAACATAAGTATTCACTTTTTCAGAAAAAAAAATCATAACATTCAAAATCATACAATATTGATAAAAAAAAAAAGAAAAGAAAAGAAAACAATGTTTACTTCAGGAAAACTCACACCTGTAGCAATTTCATACAAAATTTTCAGCATAACAGAAAAATCACAAAACAATACCTAAATTTTGATAGAGTATTGGGATAAAAGTACTGACAAAATTTTTGAAGATATCCTGTCAAAACAGTCACATCTATTTCATTAGTGGAATTCAACTTTCATTAAGGAATTAAATATCCCAATCAGAGCTCAATGCTTCACATGGGATTTGATGTCCGTCAATCACATTTCAATGTTCTTTACATCATTTAATGTCCCTATTGGAGTTTCATATTCCACATAGAAATGTTCACATCAGAATACAATGTTTCTCCTAAGACAGTGTTCTTAGCAGATTTAAATGTTCCTAATGGAATAAAATGCCCCTATTTAAATTCAAAGGCCCTCATGGGATTAGATGTACCTATCGGTATTAAATGTTGCTAAATAATTCAAATGTCTCTATTGGAATTCAATGTTGTTTATGGGATTAAATGTCCTTTCAATGTTGCTTATAGGATTGTATTTTCTATTTGAATTCAAAGTTGTTTATAGGATTAGATGTTCCTATTGGAATTCAATGTTCTCATGAATTTAAATATCCCTAATGGAATTCAATGTTGTTCATGGGATTAACTGGTTCTTTTGAATTCAATGTTCCCCATAAATTCAAATATCTCTTTTGGAATTCAGTGTTTCTAAAGGATTAAATGTCCCCAGGATTCATATCCACAGTGAATTTAAGTCAACAATTCTAGTCAAGAACTTAATTTCTTTCTACAAAATCAATCTTTATACACATACTAAATTACATAAATGTCTAAAAAAACATGCACATACAAAAGATAATGAAAGCTTGTAGAAATAAATGGTGGTGAAAATATCATCTATACAACATATATCCATAACAGAACAAGCCAATACATCAACTTACACTTTTAGCCCGGGCATCCTTTATACCGCAAATATTCAATAAGAGAATTATATTAACCCCATATGATGCAATATGAGAATAATTATCCCACAAAGATGCAGTAAGAGAATCATAAACCCACAAAGATACAATATGAGAATTATAAACCCGCAAAGATGCAATAAGAGAATTATAACCCCATAAGATGCAATTATCCCACAAAGACACATTATGAGAATTACTATCCCAAAAAGATACATAATGATTATGAGAATTACTATCCCACAAAGACACATTATGAGAATTACTATCCCAAAAAGATACATTATGAGAATTACTATCCCAAAAAGACACATTATGAGAATTACTATCCCAAAAAGATACATTATGAGAATTACTATCCCAAAAAGATACATTATGAGAATTACTATCCCAAAAAGATACATTATGAGAATTACTATCCCAAAAAGATACATTATGAGAATTACTATCCCAAAAAGATACATTATGAGAATTACTATCCGAAAAAGATACATTATGAGAATTACTATCCGAAAAAGATACATTATGAGAATTACTATCCCAAAAAGATACATTATGAGAATTACTATCCCAAAAAGATACATTATGAGAATTACTATCCCAAAAAGATACATTATGAGAATTACTATCCAAAAAGATACATTATGAGAATTACTATCCCAAAAAGATACATTATGAGAATTACTATCCCAAAAAGATACATTATGAGAATTACTATCCCAAAAAGATACATTATGAGAATTACTATCCCAAAAAGATACATTATGAGAATTACTATCCGAAAAAGATACATTATGAGAATTACTATCCGAAAAAGATACATTATGAGAATTACTATCCCAAAAAGATACATTATGAGAATTACTATCCGAAAAAGATACATTATGAGAATTACTATCCGAAAAAGATACATTATGAGAATTACTATCCGAAAAAGATACATTATGAGAATTACTATCCCAAAAAGATACATTATGAGAATTACTATCCGAAAAAGATACATTATGAGAATTACTATCCCAAAAAGATACATTATGAGAATTACTATCCCAAAAAGATACATTATGAGAATTATCATCCCAAAAAGATACATTATGAGAATTACTATCCCAAAAAGATACATTATGAGAATTACTATCCCAAAAAGATACATTATGAGAATTACTATCCCAAAAAGATACATTATGAGAATTATCATCCCACAAAGATGCAATAAAAGAATTATTGTCCCAAGCACCAATACATATGGAAACTGTTATATAACATTATTCTCTACAGTGACTACTTCATCATGAGGTCTCACAGAAAACACTGGCAGAAGTTAACATAAAAAGTTCAATATTAAACAGTGATAAAATTTTTTAGCACATGTTAAAAAGCATATACTAGTTAAATTTCAATACAACATACATAGAAATAGTACATAAACATCAGTGATTATATCATCAAACAAGAGACAAGAGCCACTTCTATCAAACTATAAAGCCTTATAAAGCATTTAATTTTCATAAAGAAAACCCAAAATGTTCTACAGCCAACTCTTGTTATCTCAATGTTATCTCTTGGCTGCCAATAAAGATGAAAAAAGTTTTTATAAAATAAGGAAATGTTACATAAAAACTTTACCTGGTCAAGAGGAAGAGCTTTAACTTTAACTGGTTCTGGAGGCTGAAAAAAAAAAAAGTTCTGTGTTTAAATATTGGTAATAAATGATTTAATGTTTTCTCTGACAACAAGTCCGAGTATATCCCTGACACACTCACATTAATATGTATTTGTTTGTAACTTATCTGATTCATGATATTTTCTTTCGACATGTTTGCATTTATATCATAATTATTGTTTGATTGTTTTACCTTAACTATATATGTTTTCTTCCAGACAAGTATAGGTTTCATCTATTTCTAATCAATAAAATGTAAACAAATGAACATCAATGTTCAATAGAAGATATATGAAATTCTTAGAAATATACACTGCAAATATCCTGTAATTTTTATATAATCAAAGTTCTGGTAGCAAAAGTATCAACAATCATATTGATGCAAAATATTTCATTTTTCTTCTTTCTCACTGTTGGACAAAAGACCTGCGCTACCCTCCATGCATTGTATACCCAGCACAAGTATGTTACAAATGATGTCATTCAAATCAGTAAGCGCAATATTGTTTAACCCTTAGCTAGATGACAGCAACTGAATATATCCATACTGTTTGATCATGGTCTGCACTGTTTACTTATTCAGTCAGTACATTTTTGTTTTCAAATTCACCCTAAAACTGATGAATGGTTTTGTCCAGAATAAAAGATGGACAAGTCCATGTACTAAATTTAGCATGTCAAGAGCAAATATATACTTACCAACTTTACTTTCTTTGTAAATGCCTGTATACTATTTTTCTGCAACATAAAAATTATAATTGTTGAGTAAACAACGCATAGAAAGATAGCATGCAGAACTGTAGATCTAAACTTTTGACTCAACAGTTTTTCCAGGTAAGTGACAAATGTATGGTGTGAAATCTAACTGTAAGAGAATTACCTCTCCATAAGTATGATGCAAATTAACAACAACAGCACCGCTAGGCTGAGCATTATAAGCTCGAAAAGTGTTTTTTTTTAGTAAGAATGACGGAAAGACGCTAGGGGTATAACATCATATAAGCAAATTTTTTCCGGCATTTAATTAATGTACAGTCAAACGTGTATTAAGCGACCAGGCAAGGGAAACACCAAAAACGGTCGCTTAATGAAATGGTCTCTTAAGACAGTCAGCATGTTATAAAAGTCAAAATTTATAAATGACATCTTTTTTATTCGATGGGATTGTTTTTCAACTTCATTTTTATATAAATGTTGAATAATAAGTACGCTCCGATAATCTAAACGGATGCAAATGTTAAAATAACGTTCTGATATTTATTGACAAAATCAGTTTTGATCCATTACGTACATGTTTGACATTTTTTCCAGAATTTTTTAACTTCTCCGTTGTTATTCCTTGTCTCCAACACGAAAACCCTATTAGTGAAGATGTTTTCTGTTGTGCATTTTTTCATTTGAAATAAACAAACTACATCTATTTGTTACGATTAATTTAATGGCTGATCAAGTTCAAGGTCAATTCAATGCAGTCTAAATGTCAACAAGCGAAGCGTATACACCATCTCAGTATGGGCGGAGCGTTGCATTGTTTATCCGATATTACTGGATAATACACGTCACGCGTATACTTAACTTCATTTGCATACGCTAAAACGGTATGGGAAATAGAGTTTTTCACACGTTTATTGTTGTGTTTTGATTGCTGACACTTGTGACATAACGAGGTGGCGTTCTCTAAAAACACAATTACTTGACAGGTAAAAGTGGTCGTTTAATGAAAAGATTGATGTCAATTAGGTGACTAATTAGCGGTCGCTGGTCGCGTTGAGCAAAAGTCGCTTAATACATTAAAGATATAGATAGAAAATGATCGGGGGGAATTTAAAGTGGTCGTTTAAGACAAAAGTCGCTTAATACACGTGGTCGCATGGGCAAGTTAGACTGTACTCAATATAAGTGATCATATTATGAAGTTTGACAGTTGTAAAACTGTTAACAATATTAAGGTCATTTGATATTGACCTTTGACCTTGTGACCCCAAAATCAATAGGGGTCTTTTACTCAATATGGACAATCATCCTATGAAGTTTGAATAATGTGGTCCAAATGGAACTTAAGTTATGCTTTGGAAACCAAATTGCTAACGGATGGATGGAAGGACACCAGGGGGTATAACATAATATGCACGAAAAAATTTCGGGCATATAAAAAGTTCATGTAACTCATCAAAAGGTAGCAACATCCCACATGGTAGCATGAATCATTTTCTTCAGTTTTTATAGCTCCTGTTTATATGTCTTAAACATTCACTTTTATCAAGCAGCCATTCATTTTTTCTTTGTTAAAAAGGTGACTGCTTAATGCAGGTTTTCTTACACATCAATTAGTCACTCAACATAAATTTAACAGCAACTAAATAGTTAGGTATAAAATTTCCAACTTCCATATTAAGGCTACACATTAACAGGAGCTCTTGGAAGGACAGTCTGCTTGACTATTCTCAGCGCTGGATAATAATACAAGAGCCTAGATAATGTTAAATTTTCTTAAGTTCCAAATGAGCCATAATCCCTTATGAGTTATGGGCCTTGGACACTTGATTGTTAACAGATCCACACAGCCAAATATTTCATATTGTCAATAAATTACTTACATCTAAAACAAATGGTATATCTTCAGCTATACTATCAGCATGTTGATGTGACAGTTTTCTAAAGTGACGATCTATTCCAGCTGCAATTAAAGAAGACAACAGAAATTTCAGTTTTTTTCCCATCACATTAAGATTGAGCTTAAATCTAAATCATACCTTACATTATTGCCGATTCTTTACCTATGAACTCAGTAATTCAATAAACAAAATGGTAGTGACCAACCTAAAAGTTTTCAGCAGTTCAATAAACAGAATAGTAGTGACCAACCCAAAAGTTTCAATGGTTCAACAAACAAAATGGCAATGACTGATCTGAAAGTTTCAAGGTTCAACAAGAGCCATGTCAACATGGCCATCCCCCGCCGAATGTGTTTGCTCATTGGAAGAATGTATATGTAGTAGAGCAGAATAATTCCATTTTAAGAGGTCTTTTGGTAATGAAAACTGATGGCTATAGTGATTACAGATTTGAAACCTATGTGAATACTGATGGCTGAAAATAACAAAGGGCAATTACTGAAAAATAATGCAGGGTAGGTTATCATTCTTGTGTGCTGCATCCCTCCTCAGTAAAATCTATCCACCTATGAAGTTTCAAGTTGATACCTCAAATACTTTTTGAGAAAAAAATTGAATTGAAAAATTAAGCATGAAAAAGAACAAAGGGCAATAACTCAAAAATTATAAAAGGTAGAGTTATCATTCTTGTGCAGTGCACACCTCCTGAGTGAGATCTATGCACCTATGAAGTTTTATTTTGATATTTCAAAGGCTTTTTGAGTTATGCTCTGGACAAAAATTAATTTTGAAAAATAACAAAGGGCAATAACTCAAAAATAATGCAGGGTAGAGTTATCATTCTTAAGCACTGCACTCCTCCTCAATGAGATCCATCCACCTATGAAGTTTCAAGTTGATACCTCAAATACTTTTTGAGATAAGCTCTGGACAAAATAGCATGCAAATAAACAAAGGGCAATAACTCAAAAATTGTATAGGGAAGAGTTATCATTCTTGCGCACAACATTCCTCCTCAATAAGATCTATCCACCTATGACATTTCATGTTGATATCTCAAACACTTTTTGAGTTATGCTCCACTCAGGTGAAAAATTAGGTATAAAAAAATAACAAAGGGCAATAACTCAAAAATTATGAAAGGTAGAGTTATCATTCTTGTGCACTGCACACCTCCTAAGTGAGATCTATGCACCTATGAAGTTTCATGTTAATATCTCATAGGCTTTTGGAGATATGCTCTGGACAAAAATCAATTTTGAAAAATAACAAAGGGCAATAACTAAAAAATCATGCAAGGTAGAGTTATCATTCTTGTGCACTGCACTCCTCCTCAATGAGGTCTATCCACCTATGAAGTTTCAAGTTGATAACTCAAATACTTTTAGAGATATGCTCCGGACAAAAATGTCGGACGGACGGACAGACGGACGGTCGGACGGACGGAGACTATTTCTATATCCTCCGCCGAAATTTTTCGGCGAAATTTCGGCGGGGGATAACAAATAAAAAGGTAGTAAGCCACCCAAAAATATCAGTGGTTCAACAAACAAAACAGTATTGACTGACCCACTTTCATAAGACCCCTTCAATATAGTAGTTTATAGATTTTACAAATCTTACAACAACCATGGCTACATACCATTATGTGATCTGTACAAAACTTAAAATGTGGTTGATGAAAACTATCAAACAATTCTTTACATATAAATACAATTTTCTTCTTACTCATCCTTTCTTGATTTAACCTTTGGAAATTAGTATCCCTTTAGCGGGATCCGTCTTCACCAGGATAACCATCCAGGCAAATGCGTGATGTGGGCCGGGGCATATTGATTTTTACACCCGCCGTGTATCCAGATTTTTGGATCCATCACAAAATGCAGCATCGGAGCCCTTGGAAAGGGAAATTGCATCGAAAACGAAACCGGATATATTCACTCACACAATCCGACCAATCAGAAACCAAATTACATTTACTTTCGGCAACAACGTCCATAGCAACACTTCCGGAACAGGAAAGGTCTAAATTAAATCCGAAGACAAAACAAACAACGGAAGGTCAGAAACAGCGCAAAATTGACGAACCGAAAATCTCAAGATTTAAATTCTCAAAGAAACTTCATGTTCAAAAGACCCGAACACAATATAATATTTTATACTTAGAAAAGTACATAAGAACAAAATCCATCCTTAAATCATTCATACCAAAAGTACCAGTTATCAGCTCAACTTCACAATTACAGTGGGAAGAAGCACATATTGACTTTGATACCCAGAATTATCCTATTTTATCCATGGCGTACTTAGAAGAGAGATTTCTTGCCACTCAACAAATAGAACCACTCATATGGTGCAGATATATTGATGACATTTTTACCATTTGGCCACATCGTTGTGAGGAATTGTATTCCTTCTTGGCCCACTTGAACGGTTTTCACTTCTTTATCAAAATTACACATGAAATCGCCAGCCATGAAAGAAGCTCACTTTTTTATGTTAAATAGTTAAAGGATGCACATGGTAACCTCAATACTAGACTGTACATTAAAACAACTGATGCCAACATATATTTACATTAAAAAAGTGCATAACATAGAAATAGTAATACTTATGGTGACTCAAAATAACAATTTATTTGTGTATTTTTATTTATGGAACTTTTCAATAATCAGAAAGCACTGGACTCTGTAAAACTATGATATTTTAACTTATTTAACTATTACACAAGGACTTAACAACATTCTGGCACTGAGCCAAATCTTATTCTATTTTTAGATTTTTTGTTACTATTTTGGTCAGTCATGTGACTTACCATCCTATACATTTTTAATACTTCAGGCCCAAATTTCTGTCAAAATTTATCCTGATGAAGACCTCACGGTAGGTCGAAACCGGTAGATAATAAAATAACATAAACATCCCTGGTGTTGACGTGTAATTTTCTTCTTACTTATCCTTTCTTGATATAAATACAATATATAACTTCTTGCACAAGATTACCATTTTCCTCCCTTCTATACTACTTATATGGGACTGTCATAATTTCCGCAAGCACTCAAGAAGTTAAAGTTTACCTTGTAAATCAGAGTAACTGGAAGATTTTGGCATTGCAGGAGAAGATCTACCACTACTACTCTGTTTGAGAATAGATCGCAGGGGAAGGTTTAATGTATGATATGTTCTGTTCTCACGCTCCTGTTTTGATAAATCTTCCAGCGAGCTGGCACTAGACTAAAAATAATAAGAGATACTGTAAAACTTTCATTGAAAATCGTATATAAATTTCATTGAAAATTGAATATAACTTTCATTGAAAATTGAATATTATATATAATATATATAACTTTTATCTATATAGATTAATAACTATAAATTTCATTAACAAATGAATATATCTTCATGAAAAAAATAAATATGGCTTTCATTGATAAATGAATTTAAATTTCAATGATAAATGTATACATTTTTTTCTCAAAAAGTTAATGTAACTTACATTAAACAATCAAATTTATAAGTCATATCATTTCTTTATCACACCAGAAAACTAAACTTCAGAAGACCCCAGATGCCCCTTCATTTATCATGGTACCAAGTTATGACCTGGCTGCACAAGAAGAAACACCAACCTTCCATAAGCTAGCAGGATATCTTTCTTTCATCAAAAACTCCAATGCCCATGTTGAGATTCAAACCAATACTAATGTAAGGCAATTTTTTAAAATTCATAATCACTCAGCCATTGAGTACCCAACAAAATATTACTTACAGATCTGGCAATAGAGAACACAGATGGTTTCGGGGAGACACCTTTTCCTCCCCGCAGTGTCTCATCAACTTTTGACACTTTAAACCTTGATTTTGGTTGAGCGGGAATGAATTCAATCCTCGGAGGTGGGGTTGGGGCGCGGCTTGACCCAGGTGTGGAGGCAATATCGTCATCTGGCATTACAACCTTCTGATCTTGACTAAGATGTACCCATAACATTCTTTCAAGCTCAAATCTCTTCACAGAGCCAAGTAAAATCATAGAATCTGAAAACATTATTTTCAAACAAACTTTTGTGAAGGGACATCCATTTATAGGTTAAAACAATATTGATTTGTTTACATACATGCTAGTTTTCGTACATTATAATTTCTGAGGTAAAAAGTCTAGTGTATATAGTTGCAAGTAACATGTTACTTGAAATATGTATTTCAAATATTTAGAAATCCAACACAAATTATTCTTACATACTTTCATAAATCAAGTTATTACACAATAAATTTATGGATAAGACAAAAAGCAGACAGACACACAGACAGATGGACAGACATTTCTAAAACATAAAGCCACCCTTTGGATGCATAAAAAATATTCACTACTTGGTTCAGACAACAATTGAATGTACAGATAATCTATATGAACTACCATGATTATAGTTGGACAAGGGTAGAATAAAATTATAAATTTACAAATGATATCAATGGGCGTAAACATAATATAATGAACACAGAATGCTTACAACAGACAAAGGACAAAAACAGGTAGTGATGGAAACACAGATATTTTCTAATTTTAACTAATACAGTTCATTCTTTCCTCAATTAAAACTTTTGTAAATTTTTTTTCTACAAGAGATCCTAAAAATTTTCATATGGCTATGTCATTTTAATGAAAAGTATTTTTTAATTTATATATGTATTAAATTTTTTGAAACTAACAGATTATCAACAGCAAACAAACCTTTTGAGTCAACCAGTGGATATGTTCTAAATTTTGTGTTTTCAAGTAAATCCCTAAGTTCCATGTATGATGACAGGAAGGATATGAGTCTAACATCTTTTATCATAATATCTTCTACATATACATTCCATGAACTGAAAACAGAATACATCTTTTATTATCACATGACATTACTTTGATTTCAATGTAGTATAACCATTGTGTATTTCTGTATATCACATAATCGTGCCGCTTTTGCAACTGTGTAAAAATGCCAGTGGCTCGCATACTATAATTTTATACAACCTGTTCAATAAATTCAGTATTGAATATACAATCATTTAATATCCTCTATATCTAACGCATGTGTTAAGTAATATACATGTATATAAACATCAGGGCACTGTCATCTTGATATAAAGTATATAAATAATGTTGTTTTTGAAAAATTGCTTCTAAAATAGTGGTTTTCTTCATATTTGTGCTTTCAAGAAAAGGCAAGGAATATCCAAACTAAATTTAGTTAATTCAATGAAAAACATTTCAATATTATTCATTTTTAGCCAATCAAATTCCTTTTTAAGAGAATATCAACCAAAAATCTTCACTAAGGTACTTACTCAACTTTAGAAGACACAATGCTAGGTAGATAGGGGAGTCTTTTGAGTCTTATTATACTGTCATAAAATGATGGCTGGAACAAGTTGGCCACAGCATTTGATATTAAAACAGCTATCTGTAATGAATATATATATATAAGTTTATTAAATGTAAAGAATGGTTAACTGTTAACCTGTTGGAGCCAAATCAGATTAGTCTTTGTCACCAGTCAAGCTCTAACAAAGTGCTATACGTTATCAAGCACAATTTCTGTATTTTGATATTGAAATACCTATTGAATGGACTGTTCCAAATATAAAGCACGGCTAACACATTACACAAATTAGAAAAATATTCAAACTGTAAGGAACATTGATATCAAAATACAAACAATGAGGTACCATCAGTATAATCTTTATTGCTGAAAGAAACAAAAACAGGGTTGGAACCCATGCAGCAAGATAACTAGTCCGATGGGTTAACCTCCCAGCCATGCCACCATTTGTAACACCATTCAAATGGACTGAGCATTGAAAACATTTTGTTTGTTTAAGACTCTTTACTATACATGGCACTGTCACAAAAAATAAATGTTGAAAACAATTCATCATGTCAGCAATTTGGGGTAAGCTGTTTAAAGAAAGCCACCATAACAACTCTGCCACGGAGGCCTAGCAAATAATATAGTCAGTAAAACTACAGATGTTAACATACCACAGCAGGGAGTACGTGAGAGATCTGACCAGTCAGTTCAAACACTATCACAGATGTTGATATGGTCCTAGTTACACTACCTGATAATGATGCAGCACCTGAAACATTGTCGTTAACTTCAATCAACTTTTCTAACATATACAACAGAACAAATGTTAAATTCATCCCTGATTTTGCTGTCAATAAGGTTCTTAACAGTTTTGCAAAAGAAGGTACAGTAGAACTTCAATGTGGTAAGCCGATTTTCTTGTTGGGTTTAAGTAAAATGAAAGTCTCTATATTTCTCCTTATGAGTTTATTCCAGCTTTCTTGGCAGAGGAAGACTTCATTGCATCCATGAAGGGCACCTGTGTAGAACCATTGGTGTTCAATAAGCTTGCAGGATAGCTTCCTCATATTAAAGAATCCAAAGTCCTTGAGGGGTTAAGAACCCACAGTGGTGAGGTGCAATTTGTTTGAAGTCAATCTTCTTAACCACTCCGCCACGGATGCCCCAATTAGTACAATAATGCACAACAGTAGAGAAAAGACGTGTTTGAAACCTTACCTACAACAGCATAGCCCCCAGGAACTATTTTATGTATAACATCACCAGATTTCACTCCGTTAGGAAACCATGCAGCCATACTTTCTCCAATTAAACGTCCAAATGCTGCTCCTTTTTGCAAAGATAACATTAGAAACCAAGATTAATGTAGGGTTATAAATCAATTTGCACAAAATTATAAATCAATTTGCACAAAATTATATCAGAGAGTTTAAGACAGAGATTTATGTAAGGAAGTCTTCATGGTTTGAGTTTTTTTACACCAAAATTGACTTATGCATACTATCAAAGCACCGTAACAAGTTCACTTTGAGATAAAGGTTATGCTCTAGATAACTTACCTATGGTGAACACTGGCACAAACACTCCAGCAGGAATAGGTAAAGTGTTACAAACAGCTGCCATCCAAAACTGCAAACATAACAACACTTATGTTCATCTTATGTCCATCATATATAACTATTTGTGTTCAAAAACAAATCAATAATAGAATGCTTAGTTGATTGTATGGTTAAAAGAAAAGTTAAAATCATCAAAGATCTTTCTGCAGTGTTTCATTTCTAAAAAGTTAACTACAACCAAAAGACAGCAAAGCATTAAATCAATTCAAAACCGGAGTCTCCTTCATACAGGCAGGATTTTTTAAAAGTTTTTTTAAGCATATAAATATAATTTTCGGATTTCAAACAAATTTTCATCAAAATGTACCAAATTTCTGTAGCCAAATCATGAACAATTCAGCAATGGTTAATGGCAAAGTTAGCCCTGAATTACAGCCAGGCCAACCTGCACACCCTACACTAAATTGCTGCCTACAATAAGCATTTAAAATAACAAAAAAAAACCTTATATCATCAATGGACAGTTCTTATTTCAAAGCAGGACTAGTGAAGGTAATGGAATTATATAACAAGAGGGCCATGATGGCCCTGAAGTCGCTCACCTGTATATAGGCCCCCAGAGCGGGGCCAGTTTAAACCCCAGGGCTTTTATTTGAACGAACTTGGTAGACACCCATTAGAAGATGTTTCATGCTAAACATCTAAGGTCTAGCTTGTTGAGTTTTTAAAAAACAAAGATTTTTTAAGTTTTAACTATACACATATAGTTTAAAGTAATGACACCCCTAGGGCGGGGCCAATTTTGACCCCAGGGCTTTTATTTGAACAAACTTTTAAGACACTCACTAGAAGATGTTTCATGCTTAGTATCTAAACTCTAGCTATTTGGGTTTTTTCAAAGAAGATTTTTTTTTTAAGTTTTTGCATTACATATAAATAAAATCAATGACCCCCGGGGCGGCGCCAATTTTGACCCAAGCTTTTACTTGAACAAACTTTGTAGACACTCACTAGAAGATGTTTCATGCTTAGTATCTAAACTCTAGCTATTTGGGTTTTTTCAAAGAAGATTTTTTTTTAAAGTTTTTGCTTTACATATATAAGGAAAATCAATGACCCCCGGGGCAGGGCCAATTTTGACCCCAGGGCTCTTATTTTAACAAATTTTGTAGACACCCATTAGAACATGTTTCATGCTAAATATCTTAGCTCTAGCTCTTTGGGTTCTTTAAAAGAAGATTTTTTAAGTTTTTACTATATGCATATAGGAAAAATCAATGACCCTCTGGGGCGGAGCCAATTTAACCCCAGGGCTTTTATTTGATCAAACTTGATAGACACTCATTAGAAGATGTTTCATGCTAAACATCTAAGGTCTAGCTTGTTGAGTTTTTAAAAAAAAAGATTTTTTAAGTTTTTACTATATGCATATAGGGAAGATCAATGACCCCCTGGGGCCGGGCCAATTTTGACCCAAGGGCTTTTATTTGAACAAACTTGGTAGACACCCATAAGAAGATGTTTCATGCTAAATATCTTAGCTCTAGCTCTTTCGGTTCTTTAAAAGAAGATATTTTAAGTTTTTTCTATCGGTTGCCATGGCAACCAGAGTTCTGCATGGAATTAAATTCTTTGAACAATTTTTAAAGGTGACCACCAAAGGAACATTCCTGTGAAGTTTGGATGAAATTGGCTCAGCGGTTTATGAGGAGATGTCATTTAAAGTAAAAGTTTACGGACGCCGGACGGACGCCGGACGGCGGACGAAAAGCGATCACAAAAAAGTTTCTTCACAGATTTAACTTACATTCATAATAATAAATATAACAAGGCTGGCATATATATTTGTGTCTGGGTGGTTCCAGTGACTGAGTACTTCCTCCCCGTCCAGATCATCAGCTTGTCCTTTAGTCCATGTTATATTGCTGAATAACTCATCTACAGCCCTTCTATGTGTTAACTGTAATCACAAAAGATAAATAAACATGTATAAGAAAGCCCTTTCAATTCCCTTAAATTTGGGAAAGAAAAACAAGTAGATTTTTGCAAAGTGGGAAGGAAAACTTAATTGAATTTCAATGAAAAACTGCATGAATATAAAGAATTGTGCTGAGGTGGAAGACACCCATGAATGGATAAACATACTTTGTATGTAACATTTATTGCTGAAACACCTCCAGAAGAATGGTGTTCATTTAGTAGTTAGAGTGTCTATCAATCAACCCAGGGTTGGCTGCAACGGATTCTACTCTGGTGACCTGTGCTGACCAAGATCGGCACAATTCATTTCTCAGTCTGTATGTACAACATGTATTTTGAAATGTGTGACATAAAATTTACCTCTCCAGCAAAGTACTGTCCCAGTCCAGGAGGAAATGTTGATGAAGATATCACAAGTGCAACAAGGCCAGGGTATATAAAACGACTGAAAAAAAATTAATACAATCTGATGCAATTTTCGAAGTGTAATTATGGTAACTTTCCAGTCTTAATGGCAGTGGAAGACCTCAATTGCCCCTCAGTAAATTATTTCAGGCACAAGCGAGCACCTGAGTAGAAACACTGACATTCTGTAAGCTAGCTGAATAGATGGAGTTATGCTATAAACTACACAATTGTAGGATTACCTGGCAATAAACTGGTGACATTAACAAGCCTATATCACTGCTAGCATTTATGCATTTTTACTTTTCAGTAACAATTGTCCAAGTGTTATATAAAAGGACAGTCTGTACTATATCAACATAGTATATTATGTAAATTTTAGATATGAGATAAGTTACAAAAAACAATTGATATTGATTAAAGTACTTACTTCTTTTGTAAAAATGCAGACATCTTTTTATGTTTTCTTGTAAATAATATAATTCTTCGATGTGTTAAAATAAACAAGGCACCAATAAGACCACAGGCAACCCTAAAAAGAGAAGACAAACATATCTTAATTCCTCATACATAACAGAGGGTTTTATAAATTAAACTTTTCCAACTTTTGATATACATTGTAATTCTATTACTTTTTACCCAAGCAGCAAAACCAGGTGTGGACCAATATTAATAATAATTTTTCATAAACTATAGATTTAAGTACACTGTATTTTTAATTTTACATAAACTATAGATTTAACAAAAACTTATTTATATGAATCAGGTTACTGAATTACAGTCAAATCTGATTTGAAGTCACTAAGAAGTAAAACCCACATTGTAAACAAACTTCAGAGAAAACTCATATAGTAAAAAAAATATTCAAAGAAACCTACATTTTATATTGATTTCAGAAACCAGCAAACATAACAACAAATGGTAAATCTCCACAAGTCATTTATTGTTTAACTACTTCCCCCTTCATTTCATTCTAAAAATAGAATGATGACCTTTTTTCACCTTACTACATGCAGTAGTGAGAATATGACAAATATTTGACATTTAATTCAAGCATGCATATATTATGTAACTTTGTGGGGTTATGCTGTCATAATGTGTCACAACAAATTAATATGCTAAGTTGTTTTACACAACTATATAATTTATGACAGCAATTTGTAAACATTACATGTGTGAAGATATTCAAAACTTTTTATTACATTTTAACTTAGGATGACTATTTTTTACCAAATTGAAAGCATATTACAGAAATGTTATGCATTTATTTTAACATATTTATAATATGAATAGGTTGTTGATGCTTAAAATTAACCTAAAAAATTGTCCCTGGCACATAAATATTGTGGAATTCAGTGAAACACATGGATCCTTGGCAGCACTGACAATAGGGAACAGTGAAGACACTGAGCAAACCACACAAAGGTACTGGATATCATGGGCTGCATTTATCACATATAGGTAGATGCGGTATGATTTTAATATCAAAATACAAATATTGAGCAACATGTGCCAGCAGTTTAGAGCCTGGTTAAATTACATGGATGTACAGGCTGGCCTGGCTTTATACTTGTCAAAAAGGCTGATCATTTTTAGGTTAAGGTTAAAGGGTTCATCAGTGCACTTTATAGCTCAAAGATATCATCAAGATGTGAACATGTTCTTTCCAAACTTTATCTTATTTCAGTTGATTTTGATCTTAAAACTTATACTAAGTATAAAACATTTTACTTACCCGATGAATGAAAATGCCAGTAATTCCAATGGATCAAAAGGAAAATCTGTTTTTAAATTAGTTTTAAATAGTGCTGTCAATGTTTCTGAAAAGTGAAATGAAATAATGAGCTTGTGTTAATCAGTGGACTAACTTCAAAACTCTAAAAAGGAAGGACATTTACAAATATAAAACATTATTAAAGTGACATTATGCCCATCCAATGAACTGGTAAAAGTCAACATAAGTGTATAATATCTTAACATAATGCCTTTTAATCACATGGCCCAGGGAAATTTCTGTAAATATACAATGGAATTTACCTGTAATGTGCCATGTATAAACAGAATGGGACAGTTTTTTTTCTATTTAAGGCATATTTATAATTTATCCTAAACATTTTCCAATTATCAACTATTTATATATCATCAATTCAGTTTAACTTGACAATAATCCTACTAGCAAAATATCACTTTAAACAATTAATTGAAGTTACATAATATTACATAAATATCATTAAACCATTACTGTACAGTTGAGTGTAATTAAACCATAATTAAATAATTAATGAACAGCTATATTCCATTAAACCATAATAAATCATTTTAGTTACATTACATGTATGATTTAAAAGTAATTTAAAACATTAGGAAATAATAACTACATATAAAACCACTTTACACATTTAAAACATACATGGACAACATGTATTAGTTTTTATCTTACCTTCATATTTAAACCAGAAGGCCAACAATCTGAACACAACTGCTCCACATACTGCACCGAAAAAACCACGCCAGTAATTCCTCACAGCAAAATATGTTGCTGTTACTTCAATACTAAACAATACCCCTGAAATATTTATGTTACAGACACAATAATAAAACGTTGGAATATTTTTAATGTTTATATTACAAAAATGAAATGCAGGTCAGCTTGCTTAGCCAAATAGAAGGAGCACTGAATTTGTAATCTATAGGTTGTTGGTCAGATTCTCAGGCAAAGTTAAATTTTTCTCCAACAAATGATCTCTGACATCAATTCTTATGGTCATTTGACTCTCACAGACAATTCAGATATCATGTGGGACTGTTGGTTAATAAAGTAGTCTCTTATGGTAATTACTGTAAGTTATCCAGGGAAGCCAGTTAGGCAGGCCGACCGATGAGTTAAGACCAAACATTGTATCAATATCAGCTTAAAAACAACAAACAGATTTAAATGCTGATGAACTTCTACAATAATTGATTATCTTTCACATAATAATTTGATAGTGATCACAAACTATGTTAACTTCTATTTAATTTTGTTTCTTAACCATACCAAGGTTTATAAAGGTTAAGAAACAAAATTATAGAAGTGTTCATTTATTTTTGGGTTTACGTCACATTGACACAGTATAGGTCATATCGCGACATTCCAGCTTTACTGATGGAGGAAGACCTCAGATGCCCTTCTGTGCATTATTTCAGGCAGGAACGGGCACCTGAGTAGAACCACCGACGTTCCGTAAGCTTGTAGAGACATACCCCCAATAGGTGCAGCAAATGTCCCAGCAACCCCTACAGCACACGCCGCAGCCAACATTTCTGACCGCCGAGATTCATTCTGAAAACAGAGAAAAATTTTTATTTACAATGGATATGGCTGGGGTTTGATTTTAAGCCTCACCAAGACCGTCTTGGTGATAACTTTGTGGGGGGGGGGGGGCATTTTAGCTTTATGCAATATTTTTCAGGCACAAGCGCAAGCACCTAAGTAGAACCTGACTGACATTCTGTAAGCAAGTCCCAAGCAGAATTCAAGCCCGCAGTGGTGAGGGGTGAGTGGTTCCAAGTCAACAACCTTGTCAACAACACCACGATGGTCAGCAGCATAGAAAACGAGGTCTATATATTACTGCATGCAAAAATACATGCATTTGTCCATAAAAAGATGCTGCCAAAATTCAAACAAATGTCAAATAGCAGTGATATTATTAATTAAGGCTTAGTTTAAATAACAGATTTTGGTTATTTATAACTTTTTACCTAATGTCTGATAAAGGAAGAGTATAAAAGTTAAAAAGAAATGTCTGTACGTTCGATTATGTTGACATTGCACTATTATTTTTCTTGCATCTTTTTATGTAAATCATGTTAATTGTTGGGTTTTAAATTTACAAATCAATTTAAGTGCTGCACAAAATATGGCTTATAACAAGAGTGAAGACAGATAACTGTGATAAACTTGTAAATCACAACCATCTTAAAACATCTGTAATTCTGTATGTATAATGATGTACGTTTATGACACATTCACCACGCAAATTTTCCTTTAGTGCGTTACCAAAACTTTAATACGTGCACAATTATATTAGATAAAAACCCTTCAGGGAATGCATTATACATGATATACTGTAACATCAAACAAACACTTTCCTGTATTTTAAATCATAAAATAACGCAAAAAATGCAAATGATTAAGATGAATGGCATGATAAACAAATAATTTACATTAAATGGATTATATAATTTAAGTCACAGTTGATGGAAAACATTTTATCAACCTATCACATTTAATCTTAATGGGAAATCTGCATACCATGCATAAAATTTACTAAATTTAACATTAGTGGAATTTAATGAATTTCAGCACAGTAATTATTAACCATGGTCGATCATCAAAACCTATATTTAAACATCTGAGTAACAGTGGCGGAAAAAAAATGATCGAACACTTTTGATCTTCTTATACATGTACAGATATCTGAGCCCGTAAATTCACAAATTTTGGTGCCAAAATTATGCACCATGCCCATTCCAAACAAAGTATATATTTTCCCCCTATTTTTTTTCTCTCTTCAATTTTACCTGAAAAATTATATCATGCCAATAGCAGGAGACCTTTAACACTATAATATTGAAAATTGCTTTTTGCAAAATATAATATGTAGTCATTAACAGCATGTGTAGTGTCACTATTGAATGTATGTGCAACCCTGAAATTCCCATGTCAAGGGAAATGGTGAAAAAATTCTCCAACCTAAAGGTACAATGTATAGGTACTATTCTTCAAATACAGAATGACAGAGTCCTGTGGCACTTAATTGTCTATAAAATTTACAATGACAAATTTGTATGTAACAGTAATGTATAACTGATCTAAAAATCATTACAATTTCGCATTTTTTTTTATCAAATCTATTCACTAAATTAACCATATTTATCTTATAAGATGCTAGATGCTATCTTGTCAACCTGTCTTGACTGGGCAATTAGCGGGTGTAAAAAGTAACAGCCCTGTCATAACATGATTTATTTTACTCCTCTGTAAATGTCTCCACTGATATTGTCAAAATGACATTTTCTTGCATATCAATTAGTGATGATAAAACATCAAAAAGTATTTTGACAATACAGAAATATTACTTTTCTAGATATAAATACTTGTGATCTATATGAAACACATGTAAAAAGGGCACACCAAGGTTAAAACCCTAACTTTGAGTCACAAACATGTATTCTGATTACATTCATAAAAATTGACAATTTGAGGAAAAAAAAGCTTTTTTTTAATTTAGCTTTTTTTAATGAATACAAAGTTGGGTTTATTATGCAGCTTAAGAAACTGAGAGTAAAAAATAATCATGGAAATTTTTGTAAAGTTATGAAACAATGGTAAGTGAATGCAGTACTGATGGACTTGAGATTTATTTCAATTATATTTCATGAAGCTGCTTTATAATTACATGTAATAATTTTGTTTTTTGATAGGGTTTGTCTTTGAAGTCAAACCAACATGGCTAAGGCCCGCTTTTCCAGCTCTCCTGGTGACCAATGGTCCTCAGTATATAAATATAGGTCAGACACAAGATGACACCTGGGCAGAGCCACTGACTCACATAAAAGAATCCTGCTAGGACTTCGAACCCACATTAGGGAGGGGCATCTTTAAGTTAATAAGCTTATTTAAATGAGTGGAGTTAAATAATAAAAAATACAAAGATATGAAGAAAATTACTTCTTCAGATCACATCAAAAGATTGAACGCATAATTTAAAACAAATCTTTCATCAATCACAAAATATATATAGAAACTTATTTTACACAAAACACATGTGAATTACTTTACATATCTTATATAAGACATATTTTTGGCCAAATTTCATTTTTAAACACATTTAAACATATTTTTATGTAAATTTTATAATAAATCACTGCAATTTGGATTTTCCTGTCATTTCAAGATAGCACACAATCATACAAAATTGTCATTTTCTAAACTATTTCAAAACTTTTTTGTCATAAAATCTTCAAAATACTTAACATACAAATTTGATATGAACATCAACCTGTTTGTTGTTGTTGTTTTTTTTGTATTTAGTTTAATTAATGCACTTGAATTCAACAGCAAAAACACTTATAATGCATGCATATAATTCTGTACTATGAAAACTGTCACACTTTGTAGAAAATATGACCTATGTGAACTTCTTATTAAAAGGAACAAATTTTGTTATCAAGAGAGTATATATAAAACTATCCAAAAGCTGTCTTTAGACCTACATGTAATTGACTATTCTTAGGAGTTTGCCAACTTTTAAGATTTTTTTGGTGTTGTATTTTTTTCCAATGGGACATAATCACATCAAATATTTTCTTTAAAATTATTACTTGATATTATTAATTCAGTACAACATTTAGTCCACCTTTGACCTCTAAAGTATGCCATAACCTTGGATATACATTGTGTTCATAAATAACCTTTATAACCCCATTAATAATCAAATAAAAAATCATAAATTCTTTTCCATATTTAGAGTATGACAAAATACAAAATGTCATAGCAAAAATATGAAAGCCTTAGCATACACCCTATAATTTTGTCAGACATTAATGTGTTTCATAACTCAGACAAAAAATACATTCTGTTGTTAAGGAAATATATATGAATGAATTTCAAACTTTAAGAGCGGAAAATACGGACAATTTATTCAAGTTTGTATTAAACCTGACACTGTTGTTTTATGAGTTTTTGTGTTAATTTTGTTGTTGTTTTTTATGTTGCCGTTTTGAAATGAAATGTCAATAAATGAATAAATTCTAAACTTATAAAGGTAGAAGACCTTATACGAAATTCTTTCCATATCGGATTAACTTGGCTGTACCAGATAATTTTTTTCAACAAGTCTTATAAATTCAATATGGAAGGAAACAAAAGTTAGATTCTATTTAACACATATACCAAACAAATAACACAGATACCAAACAAGTAACACATATACCAAACAAGTAACACATATACCAAACAAGTCACCAAATTATGCCAATAGTGACTAATAGAGAAGTCATGTTTCTGCTCTAATGCTGAATCGATACAGTTCGTTATTTAGTAAAAAAAAAACAAACAAAAAAACAACAAAGGCACGTAAAATAGAGCAACACAGTTTTCAAACGATTTTATTTTCCTATAAGGGCAAGGATTACACAGCATGAGCCTGTGATTTAATTTAGCTCAATGAAAAAGCTGTTAGATGCTTCAAACATTTACCTCTATAATATTTTAGGGCAAATAAATTAACAATTTCCCCAGTCAAGCAGGCATCATGTCTTAGCCGGTAGAAAGCCTCAGATATCATGGTGGATAATATATCATCCTCTAGATATATGCTACAAAGAAGTACTTCAATCTAACCTTTATTACGTAAATATGCTGTCCTTGACAGCACAGAGTTATTCATGTCTGTTTGTCTGTTCAGGTTTTATAGTGCACCAACACAATTTAGGTTAATTATTTCATATCACAGTAATCACACCATACATAGCAGACTTTTTTGATTCAACAACAAGTATATTTACTCTTCCTTACTTTGTTTCACTTTACAACAAGTATATTAACTCTTCGTTACTTTGTTTCACTTTATGCTTGAAAAAAAAAACTACTGTCATACTTTCGTTGCTGCAGAGATGTTGTGTGTGTATTTGAGATTATTTTATATTTTGTGCCAGTTCCTCCAGCAGAGATTAGTCATGTTAGATTTTGGAGGATATGCAAGATACAGAAAGATGCCACAATTGCCTTACAGGGGTCAGAGGTTAAACTGTAACTCCACTTTTCTTCTCTCCAAAAGTCAATTTGGAACAATAGTTGTGGTTATCGCATATTTAGCAAAACCTGGTCAGTATTCTAAACCTACTGTATACTAACCACATGGGATATTGGTGATATAGGCAAGGTCATTGTAAGATGAAGAAAAAACATCACTACTTACCTCATATATGCCTTTAAAAGATGATAATTTCCCTAGTAAATTGGCAACAATACTGGCAATATGTACAAATGGACCCTGAAAAACAAGCAAGCATCATAATGACAATTTTTACACATAAAACAAGTATGAACAACAGTTGTACATAAGAAAGTGCACTTTCTGTGCTTGACAATAAGAAAAGGGGCATCACTCTTTAAAAGGCAACTTTAAGTTATGGGAACTATGCCCATCATGTGAGATAATCACAAAGAACAAATGTGTTGGGTTTCAACACATTCCTTTCAGTAATTTTTACAAAGGCCAATAGAAGCAAGGCTGTTTTTTACAGTCTGATGAAAATCAAATTTGTCAACTTGTCAAAAACTTTGTTACAGAATTACAAACTTAACTTGATTTAGAAGATACTGTTGGATCATCAGCATTTGAATGATGTAATAACTATACGTAATGAACAAACTTAAGTAACAACTTGATTTTTTTTAAATGATACATATATTCTATCACAGACAGGACTGTTAGGATGATTAACACACACTTTTACAAGACTAGTGTTCATTTCTACTTCAAAATAAGTCTCTTTTCCAATTAAAACCTTTAATATTTCAATTGTTCCATATTAAATGTACAAAAGATAAAACAACTTACTTCTTTCCCAAATGGCAAGGTACTACCTAGTGATGAGCACAACCCAACAACTTTAGATATTAAAGTTCGAAAAGTTAAAAATTCTTTTAAAACAACACCACGAAGAATAGTTTTCATTTCTGGAATCCCTGAACCTACAAAACAAAACACTTGGTTTTATATTCACATAAAATAAATAATGAAACCCAAGCCTGAAAAACGGAATGATTTTTCTGTTAAAACAAATCAGTTAAAGCTTTACTGTTAAACAAAACTCTTTCAAATTAAATAAATCACCCTCATGTCAGCTTCCTGACATAACCAACCAGTACTGGTTATGACCCTAGTAGGGCTTGAAACCAAGACCCATTCAACTGAGACACATACCTTATAAATCAAATAGACTCTTATCACTCCTGCCCCTTTAACAATGTTAATTTTTTTTTTTACCTTCACAACTTTCCAAAATCAGTTTGCTCTAATTCAAAAGATGATAGGACTATGAACCATCAGTGAAAGATTTCAAGATTAGATCTCCTAAACTGAGCAGCAGACAGTACTAAATTGGCCTTGAGCACAAATATCTAGCACAGATTTTCTACATTTTTTTTGTAAACAGCCACAAGAGCTACAAGCATAAAGTCACAGCAAAACAATTATGGTCTTAAGGTCACTCCAACCACTTATAAGTAAAAGGGCTTCACATTATGTTGTCTGCAGGAATCAGCAACCACCATGGCAGCACCACAAAACTAACAGAGCACCACAACTGCTATACAAGACTTATGTTGAGAGATTTGTACAAACTGTCCTAATTTATCAGCTCATAATATTACTGGAAGAAAATAAATAATTTCAATATCTTACCAATAGCTTGAGGTGATACAAGGTGAGTAAATCCAGTGGCAAATGTAATTAGAAGTAAGGAGTAAAGCACCCAACAAAAGTACTGTAATGTTAATGAAAATGAACACTCCTCATACAACCAGATTTTTGCTGAAATATAAACCACACAGAAAATAATAGCAAATAAAACAAGAGCTGTTGGCAGGAAAAATGGCTTGACGTTTCTCAGTGTTTAAAACAAGAGGCTGAATAATGGCAATTTGTATTATTAAAGTGAATTAGTATTTTGTATGGAAGGTAATATACCACTTTTTTACATTTTGCTACCTTTGCAACACATTACTGCACATTCAGTACTTCTTTTGTCATTTGCTTAACATCTAACTTGCTCTACATCCATTATTTAAACAATATTAAATGCATATATATAAAATTTGAATTTTATCAAGAAAAACAGCTCAAGTGACTGTGATATATCCATATGACAAACACTGCCTGATTTTTCAGTTTAAATTTTTTTTGGATAAAACAAAAGGAAAATAAAGAAAAACTTTAGTCATTAATAGTTAATTTTTTTGAAAACACTGAAAGTGTTAAATCATATACAATAATTTTCTTGCTACTCACCCTCTTGCATTTTCTCGATGACAAAGTCCATTGCAAAACTTAGAAATGCCATTATAATTCCTAACAATGCCAAAAATATCCAGTCTTCGCCAACCTTCACCAATATCCAGTCTCTTAACCGAACAAGTAAACCTGAAAGAAATATTTGTTATTAAGAAGTCAAAATTATTGATTTTTTAAAATCTGTATTGTCTATTGATAATTTATCGACAAAAATATCTAAGATACAACAATATTGTTTCTATTGATGACAGCTCTAGATAAAACAAAGCAGGCATAATTACACAAAACTCATTAGAAAAATAAATTCATGATTATAAACATTATTTCAAGTTTATATTGAATAATAATATGTTGTTCTATTTAAGAAAAATTAGGAAAAATATATAGATATATAATTAAAGAATCGATTCATGCCATCAAGGTCATAGGGACTAGGCACCTTGGGGTGATAGTAAACAAAAGTAAAAACTAAAAAAAAAAAAAAATACCCCATATATAGTCTATATATTATATATGGGGTATTTTTTTTTTTTTTTTTAGTTTTTACTTTTGTTTACTATCACGCCAACGTGCCTAGTCCCTATGATCAAGGTTATCTGCCCAAAAGAAATCATTTCAAATGCATTCTAATTTTGATAGTAAACAAGTATTTTGACTTTAAAAAGACTATAATATTTGATAAATTTTGAGAAAATAAGTTATCAACATTAACAAAAACTAGTTTACCATTGCAATCAGTCATAAAAAAGGGCATTTATATCTTGACAGAAAATAACTTTAGAATTATCTGCCCTTGTGATATTACTTCACATTTTGATAGCTTATTAGGAAATGGAACTAAACTTATTACCTATTTAATTTTCAGGTACAAATGACCTGTAATTTGTCTTTGACAGATAAATGAAAACATAAAGAAAAATCTGGGTCATAACAATACAGACCAGTCTCCTTGTTTCAAAGAATAGACCTACCAATTAGTTCCCATAGTCTGTTTCTAGGTTTTGGCTCTGCTTTTCCAAAGTCAGCCTTGTCTGGTGTTTTTATTCTCTTTGCCTGAAACTTGGCAAAACTACCAAGATCTTTTGTGTAACGCCCATATAACTAAAATGATAAAACTATGTATTATCACACAGATATTACATTTTAAGATCACTGTCATGAATGCAGTATGCCCAATTAGCTCAATAAAGAGATCAAGGGCTGTTGGTTCAATCCTTAGGCGACACAGACATTGTGTCTGGTCAAAAAATATTGATGTGCCAAAGCTAGAGTCTGAGATATTTTTGAACCGGGTAGACGGGAGATATTGCACATACAAAATATATCATATAGCACAATATCTCATCGCTCATTACAATTACTTGGACTAAGTGACTAGTAAATCCAGACTACTTGAACTTACTTGTCACTTTTCTCTCACCATTGATTCAGTATTTATGTAGAATTAGTACTACTACAGTCATGGAATTAAGCACTGGTCCGGTGGCCCTGATGGCCAGTGAAAATTAGCTCGGGCCAGTGAAAATTTAAACAAGAGGGCCATGATGGCCCTGAAGTGGCTCACCTGTATATATGCCCCCAGAGCGGGGCCAGTTTAAACCCCAGGGCTTTTATTTGAACAAACTTGGTAGACACCCATTAGAAGATATTTCATGCTAAACATCTAAGGTCTAGCTCGTTGAGTTTTTAAAAAAAAAGATTTTTTAAGTTTTAACTATACACATATAGTTGAAAGCAATGACACCCCTAGGGCGGGGCCAGTTTTGACCCCAGGGCTTTTATTTGAACAAACTTTGAAGACACTCACTAGAAGATGTTTCATGCTTAATATCTAAATTCTAGCTATTTGGGTTTTTTTAAAGAAGATTTTTAAGTTTTTGCTATACACATATAAGGAAATCAATGTCCCCCGGGGCAGGGCCAATTTTGACCCTAGGGCTTTTATTTGAACAAATTTTGAAGACACTTACTGGAAGATGTTTCATGCTTAATATCTTAACTCTAGCTATTTGGATTTTTTCAAAGAAGATTTTTTAAGTTTTTGCTATACACATAAATAAAATCAATGACCCACGGGGCGGGGTAAATTTAACCCAAGGGCTTTTATTTGAACAAACTTTGTAAACACTCACTAGAAGATGTTTCATGCTTAGTATCTAAACTCTAGCTATTTGGTTTTCTTCAAAGAAGATTTTTTTAAAAAGTTTTTGCTTTACACATATAAGGAAAATCAATGACCCCCGGGGTAGGGCAAATTTTGACCCCAGGGCTCTTATTTGAACAAATTTGGTAGACATCCATTAGAAGATGTTTCATGCTAAATATCTTAGCTCTAGCTCTTTGGGTTCTTTAAAAGAAGATTTTTTAAGTTTTTACTATATGCATATAGGGAAAATCAATGACCCCCTGGGGCGGGGCCAATTTTGACCCCAGGGCTTTTATTTGAACAAACTTGGTAGACACCCATTAGAAGATGTTTCATGCTAAATATCTTAGCTCTAGCTCTTTGGGTTCTTTAAAAGAAGATTTTTTAAGTTTTTAATATATGCATATAGGGAAAATCAATGACCCCCGGGGCGGGGCCAATTTTGACCCCAGGGCTTTTATTTGAACAAACTTGATAAACACTCACTAGTAGATGTTTCATGCCAAATATCTAAGCTCTACCTCTTTGGGTTTTTTAAAAGAAGATATTTTAAGTTTTTTCTATCGGTTGCCATGGCAACCAGAGTTCTGCATGGAATTAAATTCTTTGAACAATTTTTAAAGGTGACCACCAAAGGAACATTCCTGTGAAGTTTGGATGAAATTGGCTCAGCGGTTTATGAGGAGATGTCATTTAAAGTAAAAGTTTACGGACGCCGGACGGACGCCGGACGAAAAGTGATCACAAAAGCTCACCCTGTCACTTTGTGACAGGTGAGCTAAAAAAATTTTAGTTAAATACAGAGTAGAAAAATTTCATAACTGGAATTCAGGCTAGTAAATTTAAAATCTTAATTCATTGGCTGCTATACTCATTAATTAATGTGTGCATTTCTTGATATTCATGAGTGAACTGGTGAAAACCCGGATACCCGTGTCAAACAAGAGAGAGCCCTGAGTAGTTAATTATTTACATAGAAATTGGTAATTACTAGATATTTATCCATAATAGACAATTAAGTGGAGGGACCACTGAGATGGGACTTAAAAATGTGTTAAATTAATTAAATATTAGAACTATTGGCAAAAGAACAAAAAACAGACAAGGAAACCACTTCTTTGTCATGTAAATATATCATGCCATGTGTAACATATATTCAAATTTTAAAAATAATTATCAGGATACGTTGTCATTTTCTTTTTATATGGATTTCCTTGTTGTTTACATTTACAAATTTACATACAGTTACCCCACCCACATTTTAACCATTGTGAAGAAAATTCATCCTAAAATATATTTAGACCCTTTCCAGATAAAATGTAAGAAACTGTATTAAATAGAAAATGAGTTATTTGCTGATATTCCTAACAAGTTATAAAAACATTGTTAACGCAAATCAATAAAAAAATCTACAAACCAAAGTTTGTTCATATCCCAAATCGTGTTTGTCAACCATGATTCCCTTGCCCCCCGGGCCGGCTCCCTGTATTTCTTTTCTTTGGGTTGGTTAAATTTTTTGTTTTTTAAATAAACCCTTTGTATCTGCAAAGAGCGAAAAGGTAAGAAAAAAAGTAAAGTAAATTAAATTGTTAAAGGCGTTTTGAAGTTAGTGATACCCATACATAAGTGGGGAAGACAGAATTTTAGACTTTCCCGGGGATAAATTAGTGGAGCACCCAAAAGTTAAACAATAATCTCGTAAAACTTGGAAAAATCTACGTTAAACATATTTCAAATTTAAAAACAGTAAAACACCTGCTTCAAGAACCTGCCTTTCATTTTAATTAATTAGGGGCCTATTTCAATCATGTTAATTTTTTCCCCCGGGTTTTTAACTTGTCCGTCACTCTCTTTTCCCTTCTTGGACAGATTTTTTTGGTTTTCGTACGTTTGTATCTTTTTAATGGTTTATTCAAACTCGTCCAAAAAATTTTAAAGTATGAAAACAACTCAGTTTCAATATCCTCTATACCATCCAAATTTTGGGCTTATTACCACTTCAGAGAAAATTCTGCCTATTTACTAAATTTAAGGTCATAGGCATACATTTATTTGTCACAAAAAAATCAATATTTGCCGGGTTCTCTATCTTGAATGTATCAATGTCAAATTTGGAAATACTTGCCAATTTTAAGCTTAGAATTTATCTATTCTATTTACTATAATGCCCATATACAGTTGGAGAGATAATGAACTGACTATACAACTGTAATACTATTGACACTATACTTATCAGACACAGAACACAAATCGATGTCTTCTTCGCTTGAGATAATTTAATACATCTTACCTTTTTACTACAAGATGACAGGTTACAGATTGTAAACATAACACCTATTCTCACAAGATAGGCCCAAGTTTTAAATTTGAGTGTCTCTTGACAAAAGTTAAAACATATACAATTATACAGTTGAGTTTTGTTATTTTTTCAACATTACATGGTTCCTTCTTTTAAATCATATTCACAATAGATGTCAGAAACTGGTATTTAGGAAAAGAAATGAACAAATAATATCAATTTAAAAGAAAAATATGCTGTCTCTGTAAAGGGTTACATGATTTAAGCTGCATCAATTTGTTAAAAACTGAACATATCTTTTTAATTTTTGTTTCACGACATGTTGAAGTTTGAAAATTAAAAGAATTTCTGAGTGAAGCTTTTTGCATTTTTCGTTATAAAATAAAACTTTCTTGTCTCCAAATCCAATGTAATCTACGTTTACTTAGTTTTGCGCACAAAAAAATACATAGGCAATTAAACACATTAAAAGGTGTTTAAACAGATGAAAATACTAACAAAACATAGTATAAACAATACGCGGATACAATGATTAACTCATTTCATAAAAAAACATTACACCAGAAACACAAACTTTATATTTGTAAAGTAAATTTAAGAATGTAATCTACGTTACTGCTATTACTCAAATATTGTGACATAGGATGCTCATTACATACTATTATCAAATTAGATTAGACTTGTTAAACATTCAATATTTTCTTTATTTTGTAAAAGTATGATTTGTTTGTAAAAAAATTCATGCTCATGACAATAAAAATGTAATCTACGAGATGTAAATCAACGTTACCCCGTTTTTTTTCAATTTCTGCAAATAATTTGATTTTACTTGTCTGAGATCATGTTCAGCTGTTTCAAGGTTCCGTTATATAAACTTCTAGATCAATATACACATATAGTTTGTTTCCCTTTATTTCAAATTTGCCACATATTCCGCCATTTGCATTTGCAATTTCCGCGTAGAAACACTATATTTACTGAGTTCCAGGTTATCTTTAGGAAAGTTCAACAAGGTAAGTGATAAAAATGTTTTTATTATAGTTTTAAGATTTATAATTGAATTATAGATCTTTAAAATTTCAATGAAATTAATCTTGTACACCTTATAATTCAAACATTTATTGCATATATTAGTTACCGTCATGGCCCACTAAGTTTTTAACAAATCCTTTTTTTTGGAGTCCTTTTTTTACTTACCCAAAAGATTTTGTTCATAAAGTTTTTTGTCATATGTGATCTACACAGAATACATGTATGCTTATCTGTTTATAACCAGATCATATAAGATTTTATAAAGGTGTAACAAATGTGATACCAATGTTGGTAACGTAGATTACAAAAAAATCAACTTGTGATATCTGCAACACCAAAAAGTAGTTCTTCTCCAAAATATTTGACATGTTTCCTATATTGTAGATCATTATATGGTAGTTTAATGTCATAACTCTGTTTGTTCCTGGAGAAAAAACTGTAATTTAGGCATAAATAAATGGTTTCTAAAAATGGTAACGTTGATTACAAAATAGTAACGTAGATTACCTTTTCTTTGTTTCAGCAAGAATGGGTATATCATATGCTGAATACAGCGAGCCTTTTGTTGGAAGGAAAAAATCAACATAAGGAGTAAAATAACTTGAAAAAAGAACGAAAAAGAAAAAAATCATACTGAGCTACAACAGTTAAAAGATAGATAGGGGGGGGGGGGGGTCTTTAGCGACCAGAACATATAATGCCCGAAAAAATGTCCAGAAATTGACACAGAATGAAAGAGCTTGAGACACAAATATAAGTTAATACATTAATTGGTCTGGTTGTGTTCAAGATGAAGACAGACTGATTGTCGATGATGAAAATGGTGTACGTTCAAGCACCCGGAAACACGAAAGTTAGGCACATTGGTACCTTGGACTGATTGAAGAGGTTGTCGTTGACGATTTTCTTGTTTCATACTAGCAAAATCGAAAATGTAAAGGGGTCAAAGCACCAACTTTCAATTGGCCAAACAATGCCGACAAGGTTTGTGTCAAGTTAGAAGACGGTTTTTCTGGCATAGATGAGTCATCCAAAGTTAGTTGTTACGTGCTCTCTTTCAGGTTAAAAGAGGAAGAGATAAGATAAATTTAAAGCGCGACATTCAAAATTTTTTTTTTTTTTTTTTTTTTTTTTTTTTTTCAAATTAAGTATTTCAGTAATTTTATCTTAGAAAAGTGCAACATATCACTGTAAGGACTACTTTAAAACAGTGTCTAAAGATCTATTTAATTTTATAGAACGCCGGTGATGTTTGTTTCTAAAAATAGAAAATCGGAAAACGAATCACACGCTTTACTAATATACAAATAGATAGCGGACATATAGATTAGAGGAATCCAGGAGTTTAATTATTGATTCTGTAATTTATGATGGCAAATATAATTTTCCACCATATTTTTTTATTTGACTTTTATATAAACAAAAGGCCGCTTTAAATAAATGATTGTACGGCTTTGTTTCAAACAAATCCGTTGTTTTTTTGTTTTTGTTTTTCTTTTTTTACTTTCAATAAACATCATGTTTAAAAATTAAAGATTTTCTTATGCGTTTGATCAGACTTTTCTATTTCAATTTATGAATTAATTGATTTTTCTTTTGCAATAGCTCGGACATCAACATTTTTATTGTTTGACATGTTCAAATATATATAAAAATCCTTGAATATAAGGTAATATACGTTACCATAACTGGTCAATTCTTTTACTTTGTTCATTTGTTATTTTTGGTCTGAAAGTAACTGCTTTAAACCAAGTCATAGGCTTTGTTATATTTTATAACTTTTATATATATATATATGATAAAAAAGATAATGTCTTAATGGCATTCACGAGGTATTTTACGGACTTAAGCTATTAGTTTGTTAAAGAAATGGATAAATGAATATGTTTGAGCATAAACCTTTCATAAATTTATCTCAGTCGATGAACTTATTACTGATAATTACATCTAAGATTATTCAAAAGCAAAAAAATGAAACATAGCTGTCATTTTATCTTTAATCTTTGAGTTTTTTTTGCTGTTGCCCAGTTAAAGGTGCATACTTTGTAATTTACGTTACCATTTCCTAGTTGTGTTTGTATTGGTGTATGCTGCATACAAAATATTTTTCAAAGTCAAATACTGTTGTATGTTAATATTTGGTGCTTATAATTCATAATAAAATCAGCTAAATAAGTACAACAATGAGTTTGTTTACGTAGCTATTATTACTGATGATCATATTTTCCAGAAATATTCAACCCAGCATAAATGAAAAAGTTAAAGCTTGGTGTACGGTTTAATTAAAACCTGTGCATAAAATATGTAATGTTACTTTGGCAAATTATTTATCGAAGTGACAATCTGTATCAAGTGCATTTATAGAATATATCAAAATATCTTTAATATGACCATTGATTTATTTTTAGTTAAGGTAACGTAAATTACATTTTGCAAAAGTACTCCATTTGTTTCAGTGGCTGTTATACAGGTAATAATCGAGTTTGAGTGCTGTAACTTTCCCGATTTGTCAGACACATATCTCTCTAACCATCAATATCATAAAACTTTGATAAAAAACAAGTTCATTTTTTAACATTTTGTCAATTTAAGTTGGGCCTATCTTGTGAGAATAGGTGATTATAATACAAATAACAACAACAACAGCAGCAGCAGCAGCAGCAGCAACAATTAAATCATGAGCAGGCACATAAGTATAATTATGCCAGAACATCTATTACCGTGTTTTTCTCTATACATGTACTTTGATTTTTGTAGACGTTTTGTCAGTTACTTACATTGTATTATTATTAGCAATATTACATTAGTAACAAATAACAAAGTAACAAATGAGTAACAAATAATAATTAAGAATTAGCATCACAATTATGAGCCATATACACCCAAATGCCTACGTATTGGCTCTAAACTTGAAATACCAATTAATTAAATCCACTTAATAAAAATGAATAAATAAATAAATATTTTTATAAATAAATAAATAAATAAATAAATAAATAAATAAATAAATCAGTCAATCAATCAATCAATCAATCAATCAATCAATCAACCAATCAATAAATAAAGAAATAAAGAAATAAACAAACAAACAAACAAACAAATAAATAAATAAATAAATAGAAAAATAAATAAATAAACGAACGA